GGCTGAATCCCACTACTGCTTCTAACTAACCCAATTGTGATATGTTGTATCAGAATTCTTACTGATGTTTACCTTTTTTGTATTCAAAACCATGATGGTAATATCCTAACCTCCAAGCGTTATTCCTCTGCTACACATCTTCTCCTCTAAAGCAGGGGTTCTCAAACTTTTGGTGTCGCGGAGCCCTTGAAATTGTTGACTATTATTCACGGAGCCCCAAAATAAATGTTAAAATTGTTACTTTCAGATTAATATTCCTGAGCAAGCTAAAAGTACTTTACTCAATTTAAATGCTGAACCTTTTTTGATAGGGTTAATACAAGTTATAAATAAATCTAAATTTCAAACATAAATTATATATACTAAAGCTGTAAATTTGACACTTGACAAACATACTAATAAATTAGGGGTCGAATCTTCTCCCTTTTGACATTTTTGGAAGACCTAAAAGGCCGCTAATAGTGTGCGCGATTGCATTTTTTTTTCAAATCAACGATTTTTTTCCTCAGCATGGCGGCGTGTTTTTGAACCTACATCTTTACGCCGTTGTTTATTCTCCCTAAATCAAAAATTTCCCTCGGCATATACATGTATTGTTACACAATGACGACGTTAATTGCTTTTTTGTTCTCGTGGGGAATTATGAGTTCAATATGAAAAATATGTTACCATTTTAATAGTCATCGGCGACGAACTGCTAAAAATAATAATTAATGAAGAGGTAGATCCGCAACTCAAATTTCTTGATTGAAAAGCGGCATTCTAAAATATTGAAACTAAAACTTAAAATGGAAGATCACACGTTTGGTTTCAGCAGACTCACCGTAGATTGAAAACGCTTTTATAGACATTGTAAATCACAAAATTTGCTGTTACGTCAGATTTTCATCGTAGTAACTGCAAAATCGAAACATAGTCAATTGTGCGTGCGATGTATTTTTTTTCCCATTTTGAAACTGCCGACGGAGCCTCACGCAATCAATTGTGCGCGCGATCCGCGATGTACCTTTTTCATTCTAAAACTACCGACGGAGCCGAATGCAATACAATAAATTTCAATTGTTCGTATTTTGCCCAGACATTGTGATTTTTTAAACGGCGATATCTTGCTTAAATATAATCTCAAGTGCGAAAGAACAAATCAAGTTTGACAAACCCCAAGATCGCAAAAATACGACTCCCAATTTATTTATAGTTGGCAGTTTATCACATATTTTATGTTATTTTAGAATAGTATTCTTTCATTTTAGTAATCCTAATAGTAATTTCGAATCAAAGGTGAGTAAAGATGAACACAATTACATTATAACGACGAGACACTTTAAATGCTGGCATCGGTCATGGATTGAATATTTTACGCAACAGAAATCCCGTTATCCGTTTTTTAATCGCGAATGTTGCGCGAAAATTTCCGATTCTAATTTTGAACCACTTCCCTCTTAAGAATCCTGGCTGCGCTCCTGCTTATAAATAATGTCATTTTTAAATTCTGCCTCTTTGCCATATTTCGAGGCTATATTGTTGTCAGATTTTATCAAAGCTGTTATTGCTTCTTTGAACAGTTACAAAATTAGTCAGTATTTTGAAAAGTAATCGAATAGCTCGCGGAGCCCCTGGGTTTCTCTCGCGGAGCCCTGGGGCTCCGTACGGAGCACTTTGAGAATCTATGCTCTAAATGATAACGCTTTTTATTTAACATGGCCTCATGGGCGTGGTCAAGATGAGGGAGGCTCAGACCCACTAGCTCACTGGTTTTCAACCAGTGGGCTATGACCCACTTCTGGGTCACAGGAACATTCTCAAGTGAGCCACGGACCTAATAAAAATTGCTCTAGAGTTGTTGATAAAGTTAGTTAAGTTCGATGGTAGTAGCAATGAATGAGGCAGTTTTTGTTACAGGGTGGTAATTTTCACCTAATTATTATTGAATTGAAAATGTCTATTTTCGCAGAAACAAATGTTTTTTCTTGAATTTTTCTCCCTCGCCTGAAAAAGTTAGTGAGCGACAGTATTTTTGTGCAACGAAAATGGGCCACGAAAAAAAAAGGTTGAGAACCACTGCCAGCTGTTACGGTCTAACTTGGATATTAGAAATTTCAGATTCCTTGAAATATATTTCTGGCTACGCCACTGTATAGCCTTATAGCCAGGGATTCCATACCTTCTTTATTTCTAAGGTTTGTCCTTATTTTTGGCCTATTTTTAGCTTGCGTCTGTATTTTTGGCTTGCGTGTCCTTATTTTGTCTTATTTGGACTTTATAAAGGAAGCTTTGTGTTGTTTGTCTTATCGCCAAAGCTTTATTGTGGCATCATAAAAGCAACACAATCTTTTTTGGTGCACAAAGATGCAAGGCACAGATAGGCATGAAGCATTGTTAGTGTGGCAATCCTTAGGTTTTGTCGCGGTGGTGGTTATTTTAGCCTAAATTTTAAAATGAGCAAACGTAAGACCGTTTTTCGTGAGTACGGGAAAGAATTCAAAGTTAAACGAAGCTTGAAGAGTGAGTGCTTCGCACACTGTGACGTCTGTAATTGTGACATTAACCTTGAGGCTGGAGCCCATAGGAAAACCAGCTATTTCTGCTCACAATGCAGAAATTTTTCCAGTTGTCCTTATTTCGGGTTCCAGATCGATGGAATCCCTGCTTACAGCTAACAAGCCCAAATTAGGGTTCTATATTAAGTGAACACATCGGACAGATGTCGACAACAATATACGCATAAATAAATACGCATAAATGCTACATTTAAATAATTTCAAGACTTATTTAGATATGTAACAGAGTTGATGTATTGGAATTATTTAAAGCGCAAATGTATTTATAAAGTCTACACCTTTTTATCTTCCGGTATTTTGACCTATTGGCTTGAGTGCTAAACTTCCGGTATATATCTATGACTTCATAATGTGAGAATTGAATTGATTGATTGAAATAGCTGTCGGTCGGACCTGACCCGCAGTAAAACTATCTATCAAACATATACTTGCCGTTTTGATATATGAGAATGCCGATTAAATATTAATTTGAAATGATTCCTGCCTGGGGTCCACGTTTACAAACTGGAGTAGGTATTTGAAAAAAAAGGTTGGGAACCACTGGCGTAGGGTGTTAATGCTGTTTAGTTTTCTTTTGAATTTAATTCAAAATTCTAGGAAAAACAATGCCAATCTTTAATTATTAAACATTGCAAATTGAACCAAAAAAGTACGCAAATTATGAAAAAATCAATTATGCCTTATGGCTAGTCAACTACAGAAAGCCAAAGTTATTTAAATTTCGATCGGAACAATGTCAATTTTCAGCATTACAAAAATGAACGATATTAATACGGAAACTCTTCTGCCATATTTCACATGACTCCGTTAGTTTCTAGCTGCTATCATGTTATTTGACAGGCTGGTAGGACTAGCTTCTATGAAAAGTTCCGTGGAAGAAACAGATTACCAAATCCTTGCATCATTATGACGCCACAAAATATTACGTCATGGTCATCTTTGAGTGTGACAATGGCTCGTGGCAATTGCTAAAATACAAATTTTTTAAATAAATCTTTTATTTTTTCAAATTTCACATTTTTTGCATTAGTGGCGGGGGTTTTGTACAAATAATCCATTTCAATTTCTAGCTGGACCAGGGTGGTCCAAGGTTGTCGGCTTCGCGGGCCTCAAAATTATTTTTGCTTTGTTCGCGGGCCACAATAATGCCAAGAATAGGTAAACAGTGCAATAAAAAAACATTAATAGAATCCGCATTCGATTTTTACTTTTCTATTGTTAGCCTATTTTTCCGATCAAAAAGATAGAAAGCCAGATAATAATTTTGACTGCCAAGCACATCATTCAACTTCGCTAGTTGCCTCAGTCAGCCATAACACTAGTCAATTCAGTGACATAAGTGATGTAACGATATGTCAAAAGATTTTTCTGAATAATTTTATTACGAAACAACACGAAATGCGATTTTTTGATTACTTTCCGAATGTGACGCGGGCCGCAGATAATAAAACAGCGGGCCACATGTGGCCCGCGGGCACGGGTTTGGACCACCCTGAGCTAGACAAAGTGATTTTCATGCCTTGCCTAGACGCTGTTATTGAAATAATCCTTCAATCATTTTTCACACAAATCCGCTATATTTCCAGCCAAATATCAAAAGACAACTAATTGTATTCCAGTTTCTGTCAAAAATGTGTCATTTTCTACCATTGAAGAATTGAACCAGAGTGTCACGAAAAATATTCATCATTCAACGAGCACATCCGCCATATTTTGGCCAAGAAGTTGCATGTTGACTATATTTAGTTGACTCCTCTCTTTCCGGCGCAGACTATGCAAATTTCATCTCCAGCAGATCTTGTCAATTTTATTTCATAATTCACGTTTAAAAGATTTATGAATACCAAACGATGCTGTTAGCGTACAGTGATGCCGAACAAGAGTTGAATTTGATCAATTTTGATTTATTAAGCTCGAAAAGTTTTTCGTGTTGTTAAAAAAAAAGTCTTTTACTCAAGGACCTTAATCAAAGTTTCTCAAACGGGGGTCCGCAAACCTCTGGGGTTCTGTGATGATCCCACAGGAGGTCTGCAACGATATGGAGAGTCGGATCGATCTTTAATGATTGATTTAAATCAAAAAGCCAATACCAGTGCCGATTTATGAATGGTGCCACAGTGTTCAAGTGAACAATTCGAGTGGTCAGTTGACACAGACCTCAAAATGACCCGGTAAAGTTCTCAAGCATCAACTTAAACCTCTCGATCAATGTTTGTAGATATAAGAGCTGTTTCCAAAAAAACTTGCAAATTAATCGTAACTTTGCCCTCAAGTAGCAACTTACCTATTTAATTTCAGATAAAATACAACACCGGTTTCATTATTATTATTTTAGGTACTTCCGTAGTATGTGTACCAGGTTAGGGTTAGGCCATAATTTATTCTTATTTTAGTTCAATTATGAGTTCGGAGACTGTCAGTGTTAGCCAAGTGAATATACCCCCTGCCCATAGTAATCAGTCCCTTTACACAACACAATGTAAATTAGGCGAACAAAATTAGTTACCTCCATATTGATACACATACACGTACTTCCGAAGCGACCTATTTTTATACATAGGATGTTAAAATAGTAAGTGCCCAAGGCCTCTGGCATGATCCGGCTCTGCTTGTGAGACAAATCCGTTAATTAGCTGAGAGTTGAAAGTCTGTCATGGTTCGAACAAAGAGTCGCTGATTTTAGATGTCATATTAGTCATTTGACTTTTGTGAATATATATTTAAACAATCCTTTTTGTTGCATTTGATTAAATATTACAATTTAAGAAATGTTGACTCAAAAATAATGAAATTATAACAAAATTAAACGAGTAAAATTTTAGCGTATGAGCGCCGCTAGGTGTCGTCGTCTCTTTGAGTTGGTTGACAGGGGTTGTATAACTGTATCCCATAGGCAGAGAATGAGGATCATTGCAAATATCTGAAATATAAAGGAATATGTTCAAAACTTTCAGTAGAGATTACGCGAGACTTCTTCAATCTTTCCTCAATGCGTTTGTTGTAAACTGCTTGACTGAGGAAGTATGATTTTGCTCAGACGAAACGTTACAGAAACACATTTGTGTTAGTGTGCACCAGGATTTGCGTAGTACTTATTTAAATATTGAAATAAAAATAGATATTCCAAGTGATTTAAGAGTCTTGCTGCATACTAACACAAATATATTTCAATATAGTACAATAATTAAATACGTATGGCGGTAACTATATACGCCTTTTCGCTCTTTTTGCGCCCCTCTCCAAGTAGTGCCCATGGCAAGGACAATGGCTGCCACACTCAAAGTGCCAGAGCTGAGAAAGTTTCTGAGAGAAACATAGGGGCTCCGCGAGTTATTTGTTTACTTATTAAAATATTGATCTGGCTAATTCTGTAACTGTCCAAAGAAGCAATAACGGCATTAATGAAATTGACAACGATAATGGCGGAATGGGGCAGCAAGGCGGTAATTCAAATATGACATTATCCAGTTCCAAAAGAATTTAATTTTTTTCATAAATGTATTGCGGGGGTTTCGTAAATATTAGTCAACTTCTTCACGGGCTCCATAACACCAAAAGTTTGAAAATCCTAGATCAGTAAATCTCAACCTATTGGTCGCGACCCAAAACTGAGTCGCCTTAAAAAATTTTTGAGTCGTTTATTCTTTCAACAAAAACCTATGAGTTACTAATTCTATTTCTAGTACTATTCTAGTAATTTTCTAGTAAATTTCATTGTTTATTTCATGTTTGGTATTGAAGTGTTGCTCAGTAGGATTTGTATATGTGGGAAGTATCACTGCGAAAGACTTTGCAGCATCTATTTTGCTCAAGTCAAGTTACGCCAAGATTGAACAAAACTTGATGATGGCAAACATGCGCAGTTTTCTTACTTCAAAGTAATTATTTCCGGAAATAAATAGTATATAAAAATGATCGTTTATATTAGTCATTCAATTTATCGGTCATAAATAGATACTCCCGGAGTATGTGAACCAAGATGGAAGACACCGGAATGTAGTACGTGTACCAGGTTATGCTTAGGCCATAATTTTATTCCATATTCCCTTTATTTTATTTCTATTATGAGTTCGGGGACTAGTCATGTGACTCCTGTAGTATTTGTACCTGAAAGTATGGCCTAACCCTAACCGGGTACACATGCTACGTTCCGGTGTCCGCCATCTTGGTTTACTTACTTCGAGAGTAGCCATAAACGTACTACATGTTCTTTAGTATTTGATCATATCCTTGGGTTGCGAGATTTTGCAATTGTTTTTTTTGAAATGGGCCGCATGAGAAAATTTTTAGGAACCGCTGCCCTAGATAAGTCACTGCTACCAGCAAACCTATATCACAGCTTTCGACGCAATATGATGTCCGAGTGGTTTCATTTTTCTCGCATCCACTTTTCTTCCCAATCCGACACCCTCTCTCATACTTGAGATAAGCAACAGCCACTGAAAAATAGAATTAATATTAAAGCAATTGATAAGAATGGATTTAGTACAGAGGTCGTTGAAATGTTTTAGGGAATGGGCTCTCTATATCTATATACAGGGTGACCATAAAGTCGCACACCGATGTAAATATTAAAATTCCAAAGATACAAAAGCCTTGAAATCATATGATCTGAATTCACAGTCTTCGATAAATTCTCTGTCTCATATAATTTCTAGTGGATGATGTTGGTAGATCACCTACCAAAGCCCTATTCATCAATGATACCAGTGTTTTGAAAAATTAATCCCTAACCTTCTAATTTAATTATGATATTGAAACTTGGATGGTGTTGGTCGATAACCAGTTTTGGTTCTCTGCGGCTTCTTTCCCTAGTAAGAATGTGTGTTGAATTTCGAGCTCAACGGTTAAGGTAGATAAGAGTGTGGCGCGGCAGGCAGTGTGGCTCATCGTACTAAGCGTTAGGAATACGCTCACCACTGCACCTCTGATTACCATGTGTGGTTCGCAGGTTCGAATTTCTTGGAAGATAATCATGTGCGGCTGGATTTCTCGTCGCCGTAGGGTGCTTCACGTAACCGTTGGTCCGTTACGGCTTTCTCCACGATCAAGTCCATGCATCTGGAACAAATACCTGGCTAACTAATCTCTTACACGACATGGACTGAAAACAGGACGAGATTTCTTGGTTCGCCATATGATTAAGCCATCTTAGCGGCTGTCCTCTCCTCAGGGATAGGGGTATAATTTAGTTGGCTATTTAACTGCATGAAAAAAATGAAATATGACTAAATGCATTTCTATATTTATAATAACTTACCAACATTTACATCATCATCTGGTATTCGCATTAGCGTGTGAACAGCGGCATAACAACTATTGAAAGGAGGAATGCAGTCTATAATGTAGTGGCCATCAGTAATGTCGTTTCCACCACAACCTTTATTGGGAAGCTCAGGATCAAATGTGCAATTTAAACAAAGAAGCGGTTCCCCTGGAATAAAGGAAAAATAGCAAGGTCGTTAATATTAAATCAAAAGTAAAGAAACCTCATCTGATTAAAAACAAGAGAGCTATGCTCAAATATATGAACACGTAGCGCCACATTGTGGCAAATTCGGATGACGTCAAAGCACACAAAAAAAAACGAATCTCATGCAGCTCACCGGTATAAAAGTAATAGCCTTCTGAAAAAAAAAATCAATTCTTAAACACTAACGTGTCCAACAAGGGAGCGGTGCTCAAATTTATGGACACGAAATGTGAAACAAAGTACCCTTCGTACAGTACCTTCCGGTACAATTAATCTCCGAGTTACGCGTAGCGTCGCGTCCCCTCGGAACGGTCGTCACGCTTTGCGGCTTGAAGACCGTGTTCCCTACGAACAATAAAAATATAGCGAAATTTTAGATGAAATATCAGATCTCATAGTATTTATAGACAATTTAAGATGAATGAAAATAACAGCCATCCAGCGAAAAATAGAATCTATCAGAGCAATTGGTCCATTAATTAATAAGAAAAGAGATTTTTCCTAAGCAACAAGAAGAAAAATACCAACAAGATCAACAACATAAAAGCAAAACGATCCATCGGTCCACCTCGTGTCCAAACAGAATATTCTTTAATCGTTATACCTTTCATCAGTTCATTGATGCCAGGCGTGTGACCAACTTATTGTGCACTGAATGTACTTATGTTCATTTTGTTATTATGTTGTTGTTGTTGATCTTATTGTTAGTATACTTTTTTTTGTCTTGTTATGGAAAAATCGATTTTCTCTTCGATTACTGGACCAATTGCTTTAGAATTTTTAATGGTAAAAGATTGTATTTTTTGCTTAAAAACTATTACTTTTATTGATTTCAAAATATTAATGTGCTTTATGGGATTCGTTCTTGATGTGGGATGACGTCATAAAAATGCGTATCTTGTGGTGGTTACGTTCACGTTAGTCGTGAAATTTGCGTTACGTTTTGGCTTCCTGTCGATCTGTTTGAACATTGGGTTACAGGCCGAGGAATATAAAGACATTTCGTTATTATTCCTGATATTGCCCTAACACCATATAAGGTTGAGTTACGCTATTCCTCCATCTTTATTCAAGATAAACAAAAAAAGTTGGTGGTACAATATCAAAACCAATCTTATCCCAATTCTGCTTAAGATAAACAGAATCAAACGATACATATCAATATAGAATTTAAGGAGAGTCTCTTCAAAATATTTTGGGAGAGAAGAAAGGGTGTCACCCGAAATCGAGCAAGCTATTTCTCTCGTTTTCTCTTCGCAACAATATTAGAGAGATCGCTGCCGTTAGCTAGTTTTTCTATCGTCGGCGCAGATGTCATTTCGGGCGATCGTAAGTATAATTTGGCAAGCTCTATGACGTGATTGTGACGTTGAAGTGACGTAATTTTTGGTTAGCGTGATCAAGTGGGGATTAGGATTGACATGTACAAAAAACGTTATGCTACGCCCAATACTCGAGGTACCAAACTAAACGAGATCCGACGAAAGAATAAAAGGCGGCTTAATAATGGACGGGCAACAATCTCTCGTGACTCTGTGAAGATCGGATTTAAGTATAATCAGATAGTCCATCATTATAGATGCATAGTTATTTTGTTACACAGCCATTCAAACCGACCAGTGGTTCTATAAAACACACTGCGACTGCGACTATCAATTTTGAATGAGTGCGTATAACCAAGAATGCTATTAATAGGGTACTCCCGTAGTGTGTGTACCAGGTTAGGGTTAGGCCATAATTTTATGCCGATTTTCCCTATCGTAATTCTATACGAGTTCGGGGACTATCTGTGTTAGCTGAGTGGATCTACCCCCTGTCTATAGGTTTCAGTCCCGTTACACAACTTGATATAAAGTAGGCGACCAAAATTATTTACCTCCATATCGGCACACGCGTTTCTGAAGCGCTATTATTAGTGCAATGGCGAGAGTGTTCCTAAATCTTTTCACGATGCATCAATCGACTGAGCATCAAAGCCTTCAATTTTTGTTTTGTGTAATTTTTTTCTCGCTAATCCTCAAGTAACAACACTTAAATTCCTGCTATATGACTAAATTATAATTGGCTGCCAAATAACTATTACAGTATTAGTATAATACATTATTAATTTAAAGTCGTGTCGCGTTACATTTTCACTTCGGTATAATAAGAAAATTGGCAACTTTACATTTCCCGTTTTGCAATGTTGGCATTAACCAAAATACAAAACAAATCAACTTACCTATGTTAAGTGTCGAAAATATAATTACAGCAGAAAATATAATCATTTTTATAAATTGAATTTTAAATATTTACGAGTAATGTTTAAAGTCTACAAAAATAAAAATAATTCATATTTGACTTTATAATTATTAGAATACACTAAAACATTACTGAAACTTTCTAATTTACTAAGTTGTTGGTAAAATAGAAAATAAATTAATTGTGCGACCGATGAGTTAATATTTCTAAAATTCAAATTAAATTTTGAAATAATTAATAGAAATTCATATTCAATTTTAAAATAAATTGAATAAATTAAAATAATACTGAAATGTTTTTTTGTACTGTTGCCGAAATGGAAATTAAAATGGTATAAATGCGCGCGCAATAAATAAGTAATTGTTTATGTATTTTGACTTCTGTGCTAAAACATCTGTGAGAGCTAAAACAATATATGTTATCGATAAATTTCATTTGCAATTTTGAATTTTTTTTTGACATTATGAACATCATATATTTTTATGATACGATTCCTACTACCTCATGAGAGAAAACCTTAGACAGGCAAACAGAGAAGCTGCTAATTCTAAAAAAAACTTCTTTACTTTCAAATATAGCTCATTCAATACTTCACAAGGGGATTGAATGTTTGACTTTACAAGAGATCTCTAGATAGAGTTACCAACTCGGGAAAATGTCTTCTATATAGCGATGGTGAAAATCGTTTATCATCTCAGTATTGCCAGCTCAACTAAAACCGTTTATCACAAATTCTAATCCTTGCATATACTCTGTTGACATTTAGTTGACAATGGAAGCAAATAACAATTATAGACAAACTCGACAGTAAATTTTGTATCGCTATTGTACCTCAACCACTTTCTTATATCATAGTTTTCAAACCGCTAATAAGCTAAGGTAAAGTACTAACTCAAATGCCCTTATCGTAACAATGACTTATTGTTACCAACAGTTCTGGAATATGGACCATTCTAACCTATCACATATAAGAAAATTCCTTCCCACTGGTTGACAATGTCTTTTATAGATCGAGGATGTAGACAAACAATTTCAGCTCATATAACTGAATTTTATCACAAATTCTAATCCTTCTCTTTAAATACCTCCTCAACACTTACTTTTTTTATTTCGTTTATTATCAGCTCGATTTTTTTCTGAATATAATTGTCGTTGAATTAAAACTGCCTTAAAGACCTAATTAATGAATTCAAATTCCCGCTAAAAAATCCTCGGTAATTATTCACATGCCATCACGTTTTTAGCCATCGGGGATTAGGAGTCGTTACTGAATTGTAAACATGGGTTTATAAGCTGTTAAATAAAAATCCCCTTCTACAAGAAAAAGCTCTTTAAATTAACGTTTCTAAGTATTATTATTTTGCACAGTTTAACAGTTTTTTTGTTTAACAGCGATCGAATTGCAGCGATGGGGGTTGGTTTCTTATAAAAATTTAGGGATTCATCTAGGTCTTCAGTGGACAATAAAAAAAACAAGATGGAGATGATTCGAAATTTTTATCTGAAACGATTGGAATAAATAATATACGATTTGAAATGAATATGGTTGCTATTGCATTGGTCTATTTGCATTTTGCGTATCCGTAAAGCCCGATTCCGGATTAGCAATTTTCGGTAATTATTCGAATGCCATCACGTATTTAGCCATTGGGGATTAGGAGTTGCTACTAAATTGTAAACATGGGTTAATAAGATGTTAAATCAAAGTCCCCTTTTACGAGAAAAAAAGGTTTTCAGATTTATATAGTGTTTATTGTTATTTCACATCGAATCGAATAACGCTGTCAGCTCAAAATTAAGAAAAAAAGAGATGGAGACGATTCGAAAATTAATCTCAAAGGATTTGAATAATTTACTATTTAATTCGAAATGGGTACTCCCGTAGTATGTGAACCAGGTTGGTGTTAGACCATAATTTTATTCCGATTTACCTCATTTTAGTTCTATTGCGAGTTTGAGGACTGTCTGGTGTGTTAGCCAAGTGAATACAACCCCTGCCCATAGGTTTCAGTCCCTTTACACAACTTGATGTAAAGTAGGCGAACAAAATCAGTTACATCCATATTGGTACACACACTTCCAAAGGGCCTCGAACTAAATATGGTTGTTACTTATCGATCTCGATAAGTATGTTGATAGGTATTTGTCTGTCTGCCTGTCTGTCTGTCTGTCTGTCTGTCTGTCTGTCTCTTTGTCTGTCTGTCTGTCTGTCTGTCTGTCTCTGTCTGTTAGATACACGCGATATCTCACGGAAGCGAGGTTGAGTCGGCTCCAAATTTTGCATGTGCATTCATCATATCTCGGACCAGAAGCCTATTGATTTTGGATGAACTATGTCGTATAATTAGCGAGTTGTTAATTAATCAGTGATGGGACACACGGTTGTCGATATGGAGTAAGAGCAGATGAATCGAAACCGCAGTTTCTGTTTTAGGGTATCTCCCAACTTTCGATCGGTAAGTCTTCGGTCTCAGACCGATATTCTCGTTATTGTATTGGTCCTATTTGCATTAACGTATCCTTAAGCTTGACTCCCGATTACCAATTTTCGGTAATTATTCAAATGTCTTCACGTCTTCAGCCAAGAGGAATTAGGAGTCGGTACTGAATGTAAACATGAATTAATGGGCTGTTAAATCAAAATTCCCTTTTACGAGAGAAAAGGACTTCAAATTAATTTTGTAAGTATTATTATTTCACAGAGTTGAACAGTTTTTTTTTAACTTTTTTTTATATATGGAGAGAGAAGGAGAGATTCATTGATTTGTCAACCAAAAAAATATCAATATGAAGGCATCTATACGAATGAATAAACACTGTTTTCTGGTAAAGACTGGAGAGAGCGATACGACCATACTTTCATACAAGTCAGCTCCCCCCAAATTCACTGTTATTGGATGACTATGTGTGTAAAGGCTGATTCATAGAGTATCATACACTTATACACTCGTTCACACGCGTTTTGCTGCAAAGCCCGTCCACTGATATCTGACGATATTCTTTCCGATTCGGCTTTGCCTGCTCAATTTTTTAGACCCTGGTTTAGGTGGTGGCATGGGGAATAAATTCGAGATTTTAACCTGGCCAACACAGCTAAGTCACAAAAATTTTAAAATTGACTTTACTGATTGATGAGAAAAGCTTAACAGACGTTGTCTAGTCAAATTGCGTAAAATCGCCCTCGTGCTTTTTGCCATAATAAAGTCGTGTTGCGTCGATGGTATGTACATGTGAATTGACATTAGGTTGACAATGGTAGCAGGTAATAGTTATTTGTAAACTAGGCAGTCAATTTCACTTGCCTGAAATCTCAAACCCTTTCTTTCTTCTAAATCAGAGATTTTAAACCTCTATGGCAGGGCTACTCAACTATTTTCACCAAAAGTCCGTTTACAAAAGGCATTATTGGATTAAATACAAGAGCAATGAATGGTTCACAAATATGGACACAAATGTCGCACATCGGTACCAGTACGGCAAACTGTATAGCCGTGTATGTTCATAATATCAAAATCATCAACAATAACTATAAAACGAGAATATCGGTCAGAGACCGAAGACTTCTCGATCGAAAGTTAGGGGATCGCCCAAACAGCGCTCGTACTCCATAGTGACACCTTATGTCCCATCGCTAATTAATTAATAACTCGCTAATTGAACGACATATTTCATCCAAAATTCTGGTTCGACATATGATGAATGCACATGCAAAATCTGGAGCAGATTCAATCTTGCTTTCGTGAGATATCGCGTGCATCTAACAGACAGACAGACAAACAGACATACAGACAGACGAATACCTATCAACATACTTACCGATTAAAATCGATAAGTAATGATGCTTATGCTGCATACGCGGTACATATTGAATGGTCGAAAGGTCCGCCAGTTAAGTAGCCCTGCTCTAGTGGACAGCGCTAACGTAAATGCCCTTATCGTAACAATGACTAATTCTAGCCTACAGTTCTGAAATATTGAGCATTACCTTTCCTCATCAAAAATATCAAAAATCCTTTTCTCCTGGTTGGCAATGTCTTATATAAAACAACTTCAATTTATAGTGTATTATAGGTGACGCTGCTTGATACCCCTGGATTACCGCGTCTCCCTTCACACTACTTTTTTTTTTCATCTTACTTGATTATGTTTGTCCATTGTGTACATTCGGCGTGTGATAAAATAAACTACTGACTGACTGACAATTATTCACTCATCTAAACCCTATCATTATACGTACAGATAAATTTACATTTCTTCCTTCTTTCCACTTCATTCTTAAACGACGTTTTTAAATACTTTCGAGTGCCTTTATCCAATAATGACTTTATATTGCCCATAGCTCTGGAAATTTAAGTATTACTTACACCACAAGCGTCTTTAATATCAACTTTAATATATTTGAGATAGTAATGCGGTATTAGCCGTAGGCTGTTTTTTGAAGTGCAGCTGCGATATTCTCTTACGAAATTCTATAATCATATTTAGTATTTAATTTGTCAGAATAAGTTGATTTGGCAATAAATTGTAATTTACTGTATGACAGTGTACTTTAGATTTATGTATGAATATTTTTTTGGAGCGATCATCTATGAAAAGCATTCAAATTGATTTGAATGTTTGGTTTTTATTTTATTGTTTTTATAAGCTGAAATCCATCGCATTAGTGTGGTTACCACGAGTCGCTTCCAAAATTACTCATGACGTCATATTTTGATGGCAATATAGTGACGTAAGTGCTTTGTAATTTAAAGCAAAAATACAAACCAAAACATTCAATTTAAATATTTTATTAATTGGATTTCTAAAATATCAACTTTTTACCCTTCTTTTATGCTTTTGCTCTGGTGAATCCGTATTCAAGTTTTATGCTTTTAGCACAAATATATTTCTATGGAGTTTCTTCTGAACAAAGTCATACTTGTTTAGGCAAACATGATTCGACTATGATAAAAAGCTTTTGAATATCAGACATCGTTGTTTTTCATATTTATTAACGTACAGGAAGGCTCAACATGAGTGTTGTTGGACACGAACTAGACCTGTGGATCGTTTTTAGATTGTTATTAGTATTTTTTC